ACCTGAGGGGCTCATCTTCCAGCGTCATACTGTATCTTGTAGCCTTCTGTTTCTGTCCATGGAGTTTTCTTGGCAAAGGTACTGGAGTGGCTTGCGAGTTCCTGCTCCAAGTGAATTGCGTTTAGTCAGAACTCTCCATTATGACTTGTCCATCTTAGGTGTCCCTGTACGGCATAGCCCATAGCTTCTCTGAATTACTCAAGCCCCTTTGTCATGACAAGGCAGCAATCTATGAAGGGGTTGGTTCCTATTAACTTCTAGCAAAAAAACCAAATGTAGATTTATCTGCTACTACATCTATCACTGTATAGTGCCCTAAGAGGAAAGCCTTCTCAAAACTCCATTCTGATGCTGCACAATATTTCATTTAGAAACAGCCACAAAATTACCATAATTTTATTTTCCTGTTTATCAAAACAGGTGACCGTTTTAATCAAAACATATTATGTTAGAACCTGAATACAAACAATTTCTTTAAATGTTTTTACTTAGGGTACTAGAAACACAAATATATACTCCTATGATCCTAGGGGCAACCCCACACAAGGTAAGCTTTTAACTTTACTGCTGTTTATGTTTCAAACGAAGAACAAAATAAGAACAACATTGTATTCATAAGGAACTTGAAGTGTGCAAAGGGGAAGAAGTGAGGAATCAATTAAAAAACTTTTTAAACCACTGAAGATCAACATTCCTGGTTTTTGGCAGTTGCCCTTACAGTTTCAGTTTTCACTTTTGAGAAGTGTATCACTGCAATGCAGCAACATTGCAAAATCAACATAAGCCCAGAAAGCATTTTGTAAGAATCATGTGGCAAACACATGACCCTCAGCTAAATGAAGGGTGGACATCCATGTTAAGTAGTCAACAGCAATTGGTTAGAAAATGAGAATGACATCAACTGTCAGAATGAGACCAGGCTACACTTTACCCCTTACAGCTGAAAATCTGGAGAAATAAAAAAAATTCTACGCAATTTTGATACATAAAAAGATTATTTGAGAAACAGGTTTGTGTATTCCATGTTGGCAGTCCTGAAGGAACAGACAAACTTTGGGGGGAGGGGGGGGAAGGCTCCTATATATTCAACAACTTCTCAGTGTTAAGGGACAAAATGTCATTAACTTTTCATGACGTGTCATAAAATCTTCTCACTCTCCAGCTGTGACAACTGCTATTTGTAACCCAAACTCCCACAGGACAACACTAGAGGTTTCCTCCATTTCTATTTCTTTGTTGTGTTTCTTAGTATATTCTGAAGAATGAAAACATTCCAAAATGACTTGAGCAGTGCAGAATAAAAAGCTAATAAAAGAAACTTCTTCTAAACTGTAGGGGCAACAAGATAAATTCATTAGGAGACCACTCTTGTGCCCTCCATCTATGCTGTGGAGATAAGAGTGATCTGCCTTGCAAGGCAAGCCTGAACAATATAATGCCTATGGATCAACCGTGGTCCTCTGTAAGAACTCCAAGGACCCGTCCTTTGCACTTTTCCACATTTTTGGTTATTCTTTCAATTTCTGTATTTCTAGCAATCTGCGTTACTTTTTCTATATTGATCCTTGTATTTCCCAGTTTTTTTTCCAAAAAGAGAGCTAAATATCTCAGATTTCCTCAACAGTACGCATAACTTGCATAACTCAAACAGCAAAAATCCTGTATATTGACGCTACCAAACTTAATGAAAAACAAAAACAAAACAGGTAGCCATAAGGCAGCAATAAGGTTAGAAAGAGAAGGACACCAGTAACACACCAAGAAGGGAAAGGGGATGAGAGCAGAAATGAATGAACAGATCTCTGTGCAGCTACAGAAACACCTGTTTGTAGGTAATCAAGAGATGGTGTACTGACCTGTGGTAGAGAGAACACATATGCTGCAAAAATGGAAGAAATAGTGCTATTGAGTGTAAAGAGAGCAGTTGAGTTGTTAACACAAAATCATACATCAGAACCTACGGGAATTGCAAAGAATGGAAGCACAAGCTAAAATTACAGAGAGAAAGAGAAGTAAATTCAAAAAGTTAAGATGAAAATGAAGCTATAATTGAAGTTGTGTGATGTCTAAGGGCAACATTTTAGAGAATAATATAAATCGCACTGAGCTCCTTGAAAAACACACAAAATAACTCTTCCCTTAAATCTTCCCTTCATTTTTCATATATAAGTACTAGAAAACATCTGCATTGTCAATAACTTACATGTATAATTTTAGAAAGAACTCCTACAAAATCAGGCTCCGGCAAAAACCAATTCTTAGCATAGACTGTTTCTCCAAACACCGTAAACATCACCTGTAGCACTTTATTCACTCCCTTGCGGGTCCGAGCCCATTTCTAAGCGCTGCATCTCCGCAACCAACCTTACCCTGGGTAGACCCTGTTGTTCAAATGTTCCCAGCCCCACCAGCCCCCTCCGCCTAACGGCCTCTGAAACTGTCCTAGGAGAGACCTCGGGATCTTTCAGGTGCCAACTCTTCCCCAGCAGCCGCCTTGCCTGCTCCTTTTACCTCCCAGGTCCCAATTAACATCCACTCAGCGCCCAAGGTCCGCAGCCTAAGCCTACCTCTCGGCGCCACTTTCCCTCAGGGCCTCTCCCCAGTTCCTGCTTTCTTCTCTACAAGGCAATCCCTCGGCCCGGCCCCTTCAGCCGACACACCGTTATCCCTTTTTTGCTTCAACTCTTCCTACTCCACGCCAACCCCCGAACCGCCACGGGGGCTCAGGTCCTTGCTCGCCCCCCCCACACACACACCCCGAGTCCCCAATCCGCTCCTTCTCCTCCGCCCACCTACACACGCGGTGCGCTGCGTCGCCTTTCCCCGCCACTCTACTCACTATTCGGGATTCATGCTGGACATGTCAGTGAGGGCCCCGCGGCCTGTAGAGAACGAGCTCGCTCCGCGGAGCAGGCGGCGGTCAGACCACCGACGGCAGCTCCTGGGTGGGGGGTGGGCGGCTTTCTATCCAAATAAGCAGTAGGAGGGAACAGCACCGGCAATGACAGCCACTCCCTTTCCACCGGGCTCAACTTCCTCCCTCACAGGTACCGGCAGCGCTGGCGGCGTTAGCCTCCGTTCTGGTACCAAGAACCCAAAATGGCGGCCAGCCCCCGAACCAGGAAACAGAAAAACCTCTGGCGGAGGGCTGGAACTTACATGGTGGTGGGTAGGTGGTGGAAACCCAGGAAAGGAATGCTGGGAAACTGAGTTCCCAAACGCGGAAATCGCCTTTAGACCAGTGCGGACCTGAGTTCAAAAGAAAACTCTGTTTCCCGGCAACGACCGCCGCAGGCTTAACGCGTGCGCACTCCGGACGCTTTATGTCCTGTTTCCCGGTTGACTCAACTTTGATATTCAGCTAACGGATTGGCTGACTAATTCAGCCGGCCGGGCAACGTCAGCAAAGAAACGTGGCAGCTCGGGCGAGCCGTCGACCTCACCGAACAGGATGGGAGCAGAGGGCGGGGCCGCCAGCTGAGGAGAAAGGCGGGGCTACCGGCTGTGTGGGCGGAGCAACGGGATAGGATTTGGAATGCGAACTAGCGCAAGAAAATCCGGCGGAGTTACTACTATACAGTATTTTGAGTCAAATTCGGGTCCCGTATTCGAAGCGAAAAAGAAAGTATGGCGATGGCAGGGCTTTAGTACAGCGTGCAGGGCACGTTGCGTTATTTTAACGTTGTGCTTGACTGATGAGATCCAATCAAGGGAAAGCCTATTTGCACGTTGCGCCTGATTCAAGGCATTTTGTTATCCCTCTATAAATCCACGGCCTTATGCCTCGTTAGAAACAAATTCTAGGGCTGGGGCTTGATAAATTTGACACAAAGAAGCTTTAGAAATGAATAATGTAATACCTCTGCTGTTCAGCTTGGCGATGTAATTATGCCAACTGGCTGGAAAACATCAGATCCTGACCTAGTTATTCTGCGCTCAGCGGCTTTTTGTAATTTATTTGGAATCTGGTTTTATTTATGAAATAGGAATACTGTAGATGAAGTTGGGAAGGAACTAGAGGAGGAAGGTTGAGACCAATTAACAGTGGGCCTCAGAGATCTGCCAGCTCTTATAAAGGCTGGTAAGAAAATCATGTATGTTCCTATTCAGAAATAAATCTCCTAGTTATTCTGCGCTCAGCGGCTTTTTGTAATTTATTTGGAATCTGGTTTTATTTATGAAATAGGAATACTGTAGATGAAGTTGGGAAGGAACTAGAGGAGGAAGGTTGAGACCAATTAACAGTGGGCCTCAGAGATCTGCCAGCTCTTATAAAGGCTGGTAAGAAAATCATGTATGTGCCTATTCAGAAATAAATCCCACTGAGTTCAGTGGGTGTTATTTCCGGATGTACAGGATTGCAGCCTGAATTAGTTTTTTTTTTCTGGTATAGAAAGGTAAATATATACATCCAAGATAAGGCAATCAGCCTAAACATTTGTGGGTAAAATCCTGTGCACACACCCCCCTTCATGGCACATGTCCATGTTGAGCCTGTTTGTATGAGGTGAATATGTTTTACCCATGAAATTATTTTACCCACAAAAGCTTGCAATTTATCTGATTTTTAGTGGTTCAGAATTAGTATCATGTGATAGGGACGTGGTAGGGACGTGGTGGCGCTTAGGGAGATGGTGGAGCTGCGGGTTTAACCGCAGAAGCCTCTGTGCTGTAAGGTCTGTAGATCTTCAGCTCTAAGATCGAATCCACGTGATGGAGTGAGTGCCCGTCGCTTGTCGCAGTTCCCGCCAACCTAGCGGTTCGAAAGCATGCAAATGCGAGTAGATAAATAGGGACCACCTCGGTGGGAAGGTAACAGCCTTCCGTGTCTAACTTGCACTGGTCATGTGACCACGGAAGATTGTCTTCGGATAAACGCTGGTTCTATGTCTTGGAAATGGGGATGAGCACCGTCCCCTTGAGTCGAACACGACTGGACAAAAATTGTCAAGGGGAACCTTTACCTTTACCTTAAAGATATCACCTAACTCTTGTACAGTATATGCACAATCCTGAACCACATGGCAAGAGCTGTATGACCTATATAGCTACACCAGGGTTTTTACCTACCAGACTGGCCAAGGGGCTAGTTTACAGATTGTGGCCTTTTGTAATTCTAAGAATCTTCTCAATTTCCTCAATGGCAAGTAGGATAAAATTATTCACTGAATTACTACAAGTGATTGATTTGGACTCTGACTGTTTAGACTCTGCCCTAAAGGGCTGTGTCCACGTCACACTGAACTCATACAGAATGTGAAGCTAATGCCTTTGTGTTTCATATTCTGGGGACTTCATTCTAGACTCTTACGTTTAATAAACATTTTCTTATATAACACAGCTCAGATACTTCTGTAATGCAATGGTAAGGGATGAGGGATATTGTGATCACCTCATAAATCTGCTGCACATGAATTCTACGTTCTGTTCAGGCAATGTGAATATTATACCATGTCTACTGTGTGCTTCAAGTTCCATAGTGTAGCTTCTCAGTAAGCCAGAGAGCTGCGATAATATGGAACACAAGTAGAGAACTCCAGGGTAAGAGGTATAGTGTACCCTGATCTCATTTTGTCAAAGGTTTTGCACCTCTTAATTGCAAAAACAGTAGCAGCTTCTGACAGAGTCCAGTGTATTGCTGTACAGTTAAATGTATTGTCATTGTGTACAGTCAAATGTATTGGAACTGGCTTTGATTTAAAACTGATGTGTCGTTTGCAATTCTGCTGAAACCTTTTCAAATACATATGCATTCAGAAATTTATGTTTGCTGCTAAATATTTACTCACACATAAGCACATGGAAATTCAGTCCATATTGTCCAACTACGTATGGGTTGGGAGAGGTCACATCTCTGCTGTCAATCTCTTTTGCCCCCAAAACCTATCTACACCTCAGCACTGGGGCTAAAAAGAAAAAAGAAAACTGGGGGGGGGGGAGAGAAACACTCTGTAAAGCAGGTATGTGCCAAATTTTTCAGAAATATTATGTCAGAGTCTAGGATGGCAGATGGTATCAAAGACTACTTAGAAGTCTGTTTCATACAAATCTCAATACATAAAAGGCTGTAAAAACTCATTGATCGACATTTTGTTGCTTAACATAGTAATTCACAACTAGTATAATAATAATAAACTGTATGCCAGATAGACCCGACTGTGACAGGAATGCTAAGAGTTGTGTACTGGACTGAGATCAGAGCCTTTCAAGGACAACTATTTTGTGCCTGTAAGCTATTACAGAAATTTGTATTATTAATGTGTGTAATGTCTCTGTTTAGGCCCACAGAGATCCACTGGAACTTGTTTATGTAACCAATTTCTGTTAGCTATCAAGTGATCAGCACATCCTTGAAAAGTAAGCTTCCCAGTAACTGACAGTTTCTAGTACCAATATTGGAGATCTTCACCAAATATTTCAAGCTCTTTTAATATAGACAAAAGGATAAGTGACCAGGGTGCAGAGCAGCAAGAAGTCGTCAAGCACAATTGATATAATAAAATAGGATAAAAATAGGAATAAAAATGTTGAATGTTTGGTCTGCAACTGTTTTCTGTCTCTTGAATACCTGTAAAGGGGATGTTTCAATCATCCCCTTTCATAAGTCAAATAAATATGTGAGCCCATTATAATGGTATACAGAACTCCTTCCCCACAAAAAGTTAAATTGTTCCTATGTTGGGTTCTGTATACCTGGAATGGATGATCCACCAGGAAACCTTTGTTATGCTCAGTCTAATAGAAGGCATTCACTTTGTTATGGAGCTGTTATTTACAAATATTCAGATATACATTCTCTGACTAATCAGTTTCTAGTGTAGGAGTGTATTGAAGACACAAGATCAAACAAAAGCACTTGCCTACACTAGAAGTCAACTGCCTTGTTTCTTACGTAAGTCAGTTTAAATTTATATAAAATTATATATGCTGTTGTGAATGTAATTATTCAGACAAGTCACATCAGATTCCTGATGTCCTAAGCCTAGACAGAGTGACAGCATCTTTTGCAGCTTGCCCCTATTTTGAATGTTGGAGGGTCGTGCTTTTTATTTACAGGTATAGGCTGCCTTTCTTCCAATAATGGGACCCAAGGTGGCTCACAATATTAAAAGAGCAAAATTTAAAGCATAATAAGTTAAATATTAAAAAACAATTAAACTGTACACTAATTAAAATATGATTGAAGAATTAAAAATAAGTAAATATTAAAATTATCCTAACTTTAAAAAGCTTTAGGGACTTAAGCATGATTGTTAAAAGCCTGCCTGAAAAGATGGGTCTTCAGCTGTCTGTGAAAGGATAACAGGGAGGCGGCCAGCCTGATCTCCCGAGGGAGAGCATTCCATAACCTGGGAGCTGCCCCAGAGAAGGCCCTCTCTTGTGTCCCCATCAACAGGGCCTGCGCTGGCAAGGGAACCGAGAGGAGCACCTCCTTTGACGATCTTGAACACTGAGAAGGCTCATATGGGGCGATGCGGTCCTTCACGTAGCCTGGACCCAAGCTGTAATGGCCAGCACTTTTGAACTGGTCCCAGAAACAGACCAGTAGCCAATGCAGTTGTTGTAGCAGGGATGTTATATGCTCCCTGTAACTGGTCTCAGTCGGTAGTCTGGCTGCTGCATTTTGAACCAGCTAAGGTAGCCCAACATAGAGCATGTTGCAGTAATCCAAGTGAGATGTAACTAAGGCATGTGTTACTGTAGCCAAATCAGACATCTCAAGGAATGGGTGCAGTTCACACACCAGTTTTAACTATGCAAAAGCACTCCTGGATACTGCCAAAATCTGGACATCCAGGCTCAGGGATTAATTCAGGAGTACACCCAAGCTGCAAGCCAATGCAAAAGGGGAACTAACAGCACATTAGAAGTGTGCATTTGTCCTCTGGGTTGCAATTTCTTAGTATTAAAAACACAAATCATAATCATTTTTTAGAAGTGTTTCCTCTATACAGCATTGGAATCTATTATAATCTTTGCTGCAACATGAGCGTTCTATAAGTATAGAAAGAAAGAACATAAAGAAAAACAAACACTGTAGCCACCTTTGTAATGCAAGTTCTACCCCCAAAATTATTATCAAAGCATGATGACTACAAGGCTAATGTACTTTGAGCTGCACAGCATGAGGAGGTTTGCTTAGCATTGCAGTT